GGGAGGAGGGGCGAAGAAGTGCCTCTGCCGGGCCAGGTGCAAGTGCCCTGGAGGGCGACATTCCAGGGCTTCCCCAGCTGTGCTTTGGACCCCCAAGTGAGGGTTTCCATGGGACTCACAGCTTTTACACACCGATCCCGCCGCCGTGACCACTAGCAAGGTCTTTGTCTGGCCGCTTGGCGGTCCACTCTTGGAGGAAGAAACCTCCGGGATGGGTCTCAGGGCCCGGGGCGTGGACAAGCGCGAGGGGTGGGGCGACATGGGGCCCGGGAGGCGGGCAGGGAGGTTCTCAGATAAGTCTCCAGCCCCCGCAGGGCCTCTCCAGGGAAGTTCAGGTACCCCGCGCGGTAGAAGCAGGAACGCTTGGCCCAGGCCCAGGCAGCTCAACAACACCAGCTCTCGTCAAAGCCCCCGAGGGTCGAAAGTTGCATAGCCCTCAAGGCCACAGCTGCTCTGACCCCCACTCCCATCGCCCGGGCCCAGGCTGCCCCAGCGCGCGCTTGCAGAAGAGAAAGCAAATCCCACCGACCTGCGTGCCTCCTCTTTCTCTCCGCTCTACCCTCCAGCGCGCGCTCTGGAGTTCTGGCGTGCCAGGGCCTGCCAAGGGACGTCCTGGTTCAGAATGAGCGTCCAGTGGCGGGGGGAGGGGTAGGCAGTTTATATCTGTCTTGCTCTTATTTGATGTACACACACCTGCTTTATTTACTACCAAATAAAAGAAATACATCTGTGTTGCCAACAGAAACAGCTCGAGAGCTTGCTCACTGGTCTCCCAGGGCTCCGAGATGCTCGCCGGTGCTCAGAGCCGGACACAGTGGGACCCCGGCTCCGAGTGAGGTCCTGGCCTATAAGCATATGGGGGTCTGCAGTGGGATGTTGGCGGCGTCCACAGTTTGTCCCAGGTGGCTGGTGAGGAGGGAACAGGAGACATCTCTGCTCGGAAGATTGCAAGCTTCGTGCAGCAGAGGTTGCAGCGCCACCTCGCTCCCTACCCAATCTTCTCCCCAAGGTTCTTCCCAGCTTGCCTTAGCCTGGGGCCATCAGAGAAAACCAGCTGCCCAGGCACCCAGAACATGTGCCTGACTGTGTCTGCTGCTGTGATGCTGTGTGATCATAATGCAGATGTGATGCTCAACGCATATACAGGCTGTGTCCTGGGAACCCCTGCATATGGGGTCTGTCAGGAGCTCTAACTAAAGGGGGGAGCGGGGTGAGTGTTTTAAATCACCAATGAGTGTGAGTGTATCCTGTATGTTGTTTGCGTGTGTGTCTGTTTGGATGGTGCAAAAACTATTAAGCCAGGAGGCCGATGCCATTGCACTGACTTAATTGGGGGTTCCCATGGGGGGAAGGATCTGAAGTTAGGATCAGAGAGAAGGCTGGATTCCACCATCCGAAGGGATAAAGTCAGGGGTGTTGGCTCAGTGTCCTATGGTTAGGGCATACCAGCAGCTCTGGCTTCCCAGGACAGATGTCTTGGAGGAGTTGAGTTGGAGGTACCCTCACTCACCCCACAGAACCCCTTCTGCTGAGCGGTTCTGGCAGCTCCTGGCAATTTCCCCAGAGGCAGCACCTACAGAAGCGTTCTGTCTGGGGGTGGGGGGCAGGGGCAGATGACCCCAGGCCAGTTCAGTCTCACAAGTGCTGTCTTGGCCTCTACACAGACTTGCAGTAGAGCCTAGAATGCTTCATGCTCAGGGAGCAGCTTCCATGCTGTCTCTTGCATCCTGAGAAATACTGCGACCCCCACCCAAAAGGAGCGAGTTGGAGGTTTTCTGCCTGGGCAGGCTTCTAGGCTCACATCTCAGCCAGTTCCAGGCCACAGCCCAGCCACGTTCCTCCCCCAGGGCATGCACCTTGGCTCCTGGAAGGGACTCCCCGGCCTAGGGCAACGGGGGGTCCTCAAAGGGAGGCCAGGACAAAGAATCAACTGTGCCGGTGGAGAACCAGCTATTTCTCGACTTTGTAAAGACCGGGTCAGTCAAGAACCGTTTTCTAGAATCCAAACACAAATAAAGAAGTATTTTGGTGGTTGATAACATCGTGTTCTGGCTGTAAAATCTAAGAACGTGTTTGCTATTGCAACATTATTTTTAATGAGCTGTTATTGGCCTGTCCCGCAGTTAGTATTGCCAACAGTAAAAGGCATCACTGTGTTTGCAGGTAACACATGGAATAACATATTTGGCCCCTGAATTTCTGTTTATTTTTCACTTGTGACACATGCCCTCGTTTTTATCCCAAACCAGAGGGAAATAAAGGCAGATCTGTCTTCCACTGAGGTCCAGGCTAAATCTTGCCATAAATACGCATGCCAGTTTATTTGGAGGCAGTTTCCCGTCAATAGAGAACGATACTCGACGTTTCAGCCACAGTATAATCAATCCTGTGGACTGGGCTTGAGCAACTGTAAAGCTCTCGGAGAAGGCACGGGGGCGCGTGCAGGCGCTCCCCAGCGGCCGCGCCCGCGGTGTGCTCGCCCGAATCTTCGCCTCTCCGGGCTCCTCATCTCCCCCTTCTTGACTCCCCAGCTTCAAACGCGCCCAGCCAGCAGCCGGGCGTGCGGGCCGCAAGCCCTAAGGCAGGCTGCCGCGCCGCGCAGGCGAGAGGCTCCCGAGCGAGCCCCTGCCTCGGCCCTCAGGACCCGCGCTCGCGAGCGGCTCCGGGAGCGCGGGGTTCGGCAGGCGGTCTACGCAGAGCGTAGAGGCCGGGGCCTGGCGAGAGCCTGGGAGCCGCCAGCGCTGCGCTTCCCCGTTGCGGCCGAGATCGGGGTGGGGGACCCAAAGAAAGCGTGCGCCCGCGAGGCGCTGGCGCGGTGCACAGAAAAGGATCTGGCCACGAGGAGCCAGTCCTCTCGGTCGCCGCCGCCGCCGCAGTCGGGTGGCCTCTGCTCCCCGGCACTGGACAGACCATGACCGTGTCCACACCCGAATCGCCCCGGGAGCCACAGTGCTTCCAGGCCTGGGGAGGCCTCTCTATGCCGGAGTCGCGAGTCGCGGTCTCTAGGGCTGGCTCGCCTCCCTAGGGTCGCCCTCTCTCGGCCTGGCCGCTCCCAGCTGGACGTCGCGATCGGCCTCTGGCTCCCCCGGCTAAGCTCCAAGTTCACCCCCTTCTTCCCTCCCCAGCCCGCATCCCGGAGGCAGCGGAACCGACCCCACTCGGGCCCACGGTGCCCAGGGATGTTCTGCCCAGAAGCTCGCGGCTCCTAAAGGACCCCGCGGCCTGGGAACGGAATTCGAGGCGGCTGCCCTGCGATCGGAAATAACCAGTGGTCTCAGCTCGCGGCTGTCGCTGCGCTCGATTTCGCGAACTAGATAAGACTAGGTCCTCACCCCTTCCGCCCCGCATTCTTCCCTTGCTCGCACCGGCGTTTCAAGAGGCAGACCGCACCGGGGAGAGAGCGCAGCTCTGGTCTCGAACAAAGCCGCCTCTGTCTCCGCCGCCTCCCGATTAGAGGGGTGTACGTCGAGGTCGGAATCGGCCAGCCTGCAGAGGCTGCCAGAGTGCGAGGCAGAAAAGAGCTTGGAGACACCTGCTCTGGGGAAAACCGTCCAAAGTTACACACTCCGGCCACAGGACATGCTTCGCTTTTCTTTTTAATTAATTCCATTTCACGACAACATGAAGTGTAACAATATTTTGTGATTCCCTCCCCCCTTCTTTTTCTTAAAAAGGGCCTGAATCCGGGCAGGGGGGAGGGTGATGGGTGGCAGGGACAAACTACCGCGGAACAACAGGTGTAGCCGACAGAAAAGAAAAAGATTGGGTGGCAGAGCCAGGAGCCCTGAGGAGTTGAGGGTGAACTTTACAAGAAATCTGTACATTTATCAAATAAGTTAAAATTCTCCTAAATTGATTGTCCTTCACTTAAAGCGCTCCAGTATGCCTATCTTACTTCTCCGAGCATCCCTACCTATCCTTGTCTCCTTCCTTCCCCCTTTTCTCCTTAATTTCCTCCTCATAAACGATTGACTGGGATTAGACATTGAAAACGTCAGCTTCTCTCCACAGAGGAAGAAGCAGGGCTCTCAGGAAATTTTGTACAATATTGCACAGGTCAAAAGTACAACAGTTACTGCAGAACAAAAAGATAGGGGGAGAGGATAAAAAATAGGTTTGTTTGTTTTTTAATATTGAAATCACTCTCAAAACAGGGAACAAAGTAACAGTAGGAATATTAATAATAATTTACCAACAAATGAAACTTCCCAAACAGAGGCTACTAATAAATAAGATCATTCACACCAGGCCAGATGTGGAGGTGTTTCAAAAATCAGAAGTCTGATTGTGGGCTATCTTGTCCTTTCCCTTTAAACACTTAGAGAATTCATCCATCACAAAAAGGGACCAATGAAGAGGTGAACTGCGACAGACTTCTGCCGGAGAGAGGAGAGAGAAAAGTGGCCTGAGTCTGGGTTCTTGTAAGAAGCTGCTCAGATTCTGAAAATTGGGGAGTAATTGATTGGGAGTAATTGATTGGGAGTAAAGGGGAACAGCCACACCCAGAGATCCAGAATAAAAGTACAATGTGAATTCTCTCTCTCCCCCTCGACTTCTGAAAATAGTTCTTTAGAAAATGAATAAACTGGGGGTTCAGGCTTTGCGTTTACTCTCCTTGTATAAAAATAAACCCAAAAAGTCACAGCGCAATGAGAATCTGGGAGGGGGATGGGGGGGTGAGAGGATCGCACATTTTACAAAAGCTTCCAGCCGAAATATTTGACCTGGAAATGTTGTCTCTTTCTTGCTTTCTCTTAATATAAACCGAAACCAAAAGTAAGAGGGGAAGCGCCTCAAATCCATTAGGGGTGAATTGCACGAAAATGCATTGCAAATACTTACAAAAAAAACGCTACCGACTGGGGGAGGGGAGGCCGGGGCCGCGCGCCGGAGCCCCGGCTCCCGAAGGCCGCTGGACGTCTCGGCGCCCTCTGCCCGGCCCAGTCTCCTCCGGGGCCTGGAAGGGGGCCGGGCGCGCCCTCCTCCTCCCCTCTCGGGCCTCAGACGGGCCGGAGCAGCGGCACGGACGAGACCACGGGGTGCGAGTAGTAGACGGGGTGCGGGAAGGTGAGCAGCGGCTGGCTGACCGGCACCGGGGCCCCCGCGGCCGCGGCCGCCGCGCCCTCGGCGGCCGAGTTCTCGTGGTAGAGGATGGGCACGCGCACGATGCGCTGCGCCGCGGCGTGGCTCAGGTTGGCCGCCTCCAGCTCGGCCGCCAGCTGCCGCTTCCACTTGTTGCGGCGGTTCTGGAACCAGATCTTGACCTGCGTCTCGGTGAGGTGCAGGGACGCGGCCAGGCCGGCGCGCTCCGAGCTGCTCAGGTAGCGCTTCATGTCAAAGGTGGACTCGAGCTGGAAGACCTGGCTGCGCGAGAAGACCGTGCGCGTCTTCTTCTTGCGGCACGCGGGCTTCTTCTCCGGGCTCTCTGCGCCCTTCTTCCAGTCCTCGGTGCCCGGCGTCGCCGCCGCCGCCGCCGCCGCCGCCCCCACGCTCGCCCCGGCCGCGCCCGGCGCCGCCTCGCCCTCCTTCTTGCCTTCCTCCGAATCGCTCTCCTCCAGAATGATCTCGTCCGGGCTCTTGGAGTCCAGCTCCTTGTGGTCGGGGTCGGCCTTCAGCAGCGGCTCGGGGGAGTCGCGGTCGGTGCCCGAGGCGGGGGAGGAGTCTCGCAGCAGGGCCTTCTCCGAGGCTGGGGAGAGACAGACAGACGGACGCACAGACACACACACACGCACACGGACACAGCCTTCAGCGAGGCCTGGAGCCTGGGGGGCCGCAGGCTCACACCGCGACGGCTTCCGGGCCCCAGGCATCGAGGCCTCACCATTCCCGCGGGCCTCCTTCCCAGCTGGGCCAGAAGAGGGGCGCCGCGCCCCGACATCCGACCTTCTCCCGGGGACAGGCTGGAGCGACCCGGAGACGGCGGCAGGGCCGGTTTCTTTCTTTCCCTCAGTTCTCCCACCAGGGGCCCGCGAGCAGATTCGCCTCCAGCTTAGGCACCCCCTCCCCCGGGTCACTCCCTTCATCCAGGCCAAGTTCCCCTTGTCCCAGCCACCTGACGCCACCTCCCCATTCGTGCCCGAGATCCCTTTTCCCGGGAAGCGCCATGCCCGGGATCCAACTTCACTTCTTTCCTCACCAAGTGGGATTGGATTCCCGGGCAGCGCAAAAGAGCGCGCGGGCAGGAGCTCCAAGTTAGGGGACGGAGGAAGTTGGCCAAACAAGCGCGTTTGTGGGTTGCAGGTCGGGGCGGATGGGGCGGGGGAGGGTGGTGGTCCCGGGTCTGCGATGGGACGCAGTGCGGAAAGGCTCATGGGGAAAGACAACGAAAGTGCAAAGATAGGTCGGTACCTTCAGGTCGCGGGAGGTGGCCGCCGGCGGGGGTCAGGGTGTAGGGGTACCACCAGGCCGGGGAGCGCTCCAGGTAGTGCGCGGGCAGGGCAAACCTCTGCGCCGGGATCTCAAAGCGGGGGAAAGCCAGGTCGCCCACCTGCGAGAGCGCGAAGCCCGCGGCTCCCTCCAAGGCTCCCTTGGCCGCAGCGGCCGCGGCGGCTGCCGCGGCAGCGGCGGCTGAGGCCGGAGCGAAGAGCGTCCGTGGGGGCGGCTGCGGCTTAGGGGGCGGCCGATGGTGGTCTCCGTTGAGTAGGTTCTTGATGGAGAACGGGGACTCCTTGGGCGCGGGAGGCGGGGGAGGCGGCGGTGGGGGCTGCGCGCTAGCGGTGCCGGGGGCGTCCGGCCCGGGCTCCGGCATGGTCCCCTCTCCTCCGAGTGCCCGGGAGGGAGGGAGCGGGACAGGCGGGCGTCTGGGCGAGCGGACGGGCGCCGGAAATCAGACCATAAACGGAACTCAACTACGGGGCGCAAAGTCGGGGGCCGCCCCGGGCGCAAATCCAGCGGCAGGAGGGCGGGGTGAGGGCCCGTCCGGGGCGGGCTCGCATGGGGGAGGGGTGCCGAGGGGCGGGGAGCGGCCCTGCCGCGGCACCGAGGGAGCGAGGCGGCTCGGCGGCGGCGGCGGCGGCGGCTCCCGGGGAGGAGGCGGCAAGAGCAGTCCCCGGCTTGGGGCTGCGTCAATCCGGCGCCGGATGCTAATGATGAAATCAAAATGTCATCCAAGTTAAATGCGGGGAGTATACGGCGATTGGGCGCGTACAATGGCAAATGGGATTAGGCAGCGAAGGCGCAGCCCGAGCCCGGGCCCCGCAGCCGCCTGCGCCACCGCCCCCTCCTCGCCTTGCCTCGGATTTTGGCGCTTTGGCTTCGGGCTATAAGAGTCCGCCTGTTATTGGCTTTATATAGTCCAATTAGGCAGCAAATGAGGACAAGCCTATTAGCACAAAAGGATATTGGCTCCTGCTAAAGAGGCACTCGGAGCGCTCCGGAGAGCGCAGGAGGAGAGCGAGGGACGCGGAGCCGGCGGCGCCCCGGGTCGGAGCGCACTGACAGCCGCGGCGCCCGGAGCCCGCGCCTCCCTCTCCCCCCTGCAGCTCGGGGACCCGCTTCCAGCCGCCTGGCCTGCGGGAGGGGGAAGGGGCGGGCCGGGCCCGCCCGGGTCACCTCGGGGTTATCCGCGCCCGCAGCTGCCTCTTCTCCGCCCCCCAGGGGCTTGGCAGGGGCCCGCCGCCCCCACGCAGCTGGAGAGCCAAGCAGAGCCAGCCCAGGACGCTGGACGCGACCTCCGATCTGCGGTGAACTCAGCACTTGCCTACCCTTTGGGGGTCCAGCATTTTCCCTAAAGCATGCCAAAGGCGCAGCCAAGAAGAGGGGATTTAGGTTCCCCACCCACCGTCTCGTCGACAGGAAGGGGCCTGGACTAAAAGTCCTTGCACCGCGTCCGCGGTCTCAGGAATCCGCGTGGCCTTGGCCTTTGGCCTTGGGAAACCGAGGAGAGAGCCTTCCCCCGAGAGCAGGAGCGGCTGTGCGTCTCTACGCACACGGTGTCTGCGAAAAACAGGCTGACGCCCGCGCGTCACTCGGTGGAGAGATGTGCACCGACGGCTACGCTCTGCAGGGCATTCCTCTCTTCTGGCCGCCGGGGCCCAAACCTTGACGATCCACTCTGAGCCCGTTGCCCCGAAAATGCACTTTCTCCCGGGAAGCCTCTCCCGCCAGCGTTTGGAGCCGCCTGACGCTTCAGTGGGGGCAGTGCGATCTGTAGGCACAACGGCGCACCTGCCTCTGCGGCAGGCTTGGCACAGCACCGAAGCACGTCCCGACTGCCGTCAAGTCCCTGGAGAACCCTGCTGGACTTCTGAGCTGCACGGGAGGTTACTCTGCTCCATGGACTTTAAAATCAACTCTCCAAATTGCACAAGAAAGCTGCAAGGCAGGCATTTAAGACTCTAAGCATCAAATAAACCAGAATTGCTTGCGGAGTCCCTGGTCAGAGAAAGGTGGGAAAGTGGCTGTCACTCCCTTCCATGCACTGTGAGCTTCCATACACCCGAGGTCTTCTGGTAGCCCCTTCTACTATCGTCTTTTTTTTTTTTTTTTTTTCGTTAGATCTAGCGCTCACCTAACTCAAGGCCGCCCTGCATTGGCTGGCGCGACTGCTTTAGTTACCCAGTTGAGAAGTAGGCACGTTATATTTTCCGATCCCGCGCTTCCCACCTTTCCCCAACAAATCTCAAAGGGCGCATTTAATGTTTCTTTCAGCAAATATTCACCTGCAGTAGTGAACCCTGTATTGATTTGCTTCGGGAACCAGGAATCATTGTAAATGGTGCTTCCATAAACAATTATTATCCTCATTATCATCATCACTTCCTCGAGTTTGCACAGGGATTTGCTGAAATATAAAACGCTATTCCATCCAAAAATCTGACTTTGGAACCAGTTACAGCCCTAAGACTTGAACATTCAGGTTTTATAGATAGAAAAAGGCTCCTGGAGAGGAGACCGGGCCAAGGTCACCCAACCAGTGCTGGACACCCAGAAGTCATTTCCTCTCCAACTGCAGAAATAACTGGAGGCGCCTATGTCTAAACCAGTTCAGAGGGCGCCGCCCACACCGACCGGCCACGCGGCAGAGACTATGATGGAATGGCCCCTGCGTGTCTCTGTGCGCGCCCGCGCGTCGCGGGAGCGCTCCCGTCTCAGGCAGAAGCGTGCAGAACTTGGCCAAAGTTCTGACGCAAGGAGAGCTCTGTAAGCTGAAACTAGCGGGAAAGCTGCTCATTGCCGGGGAAGAAAGAAGCGTTCCGCAGACTTCGCCGAAAAGTTCTGGCTGGGGAAGTGAGCTCTTGGCTAATTGCAACGGGGGGCTAGACCCAGATGGGAAGGGGTGCAGGCTGGCTGGAGAAGAGTCCGCCGGAACAGCAGACCCTGCACCCTGCGGCGCCGCTGCCGGAACCTCACTCTCTTTGGTCCCAAGCTCTCACGGCGTCTTCCCTCCCAGGGGCGCGCAGGTGCGCTGGCTCCTGTATGTGCGTCTTGATCAGGGAAGTGAGATGCTCGGGCGTCAGCACCCCCAGCCCATTCCCTAAATTTCAGGAATGCTGAATTTCAACAGCCAGGAGAACAGATTTTTTTAAAAAAAATTTGTTCCCCTGGCTCTTCCGGAAAGCTCGTGGTATACAGGGTCCCAGACGGGAACAGAGACCTTCACTCGCCCTCTGGCGAGCGGTGTTGAGCCTCGGTTTACTTGCGCCCGCAACTCCATTCAAAGTCAGGCAAACGGCGCCCTCTATGGGACATCCTCTAAACCAAACCTGCTGGCTCCCGGCGAGAAACCACAGTCCTGGCACACAGCATTTAAAAACACACGTGGGCTTACTCTTCCCGGTCTTGGCTTGCGAACAAAAAAAGCACTTTTCTTCCCTCTGAATTCCGAGACAAGCAGAGAGTGAAACACTTGGCGGAGCTCTGCGGAGCTCTACCTGGCCACCATAGCAATGCTCTCTCCTGTCTCTCCCCCGCCTCCCTTCTTTCCTGACCCTGTTTTAGGGCAGATTTCATGTTCCTGCTTTTAACCGACCCCTTAGGCCCCCACCCTGCCTTCAGGCTCGATGTGAACTGCTGGAAGGGTGGAGGGCGGTGGGGCTGTCTCATTCCTCTTCCCAGGACTCAGCGCACAGCTGGTCAACCAGTGATGCTCAGTAGCCTCTTGTTAATGCCTGAATGCTTGAGTGAATGAATGAATTCAGGTTCCACTGCAGATGATTTGCCTAGCTGATTAGGGTCCTTCAGATAGCCTATTCATACCCCAAAGCAGTTTTTTTTCTTTAAAGGGTTTAATGAGAACCTGAAATCTTTTGACAATGCATCTTAGAAAACCTGGGCTTTCCTAGTGGCTTAGATGGTAAATAATCTGCCTGCCATGCAGGTGACTCAGGTTCGATCCCTGGATCAGGAAGATCCCCTGAAGAAGGGAATGGCTACCCACTCCAGTATTCTTGCCGGGACAATTCCAGAGACAAAGGAGCCTGGTGGGCTACAGTCCATGAGGTCTCAGAGTCCAGACACGACTGAGTGATTAACACTTTAACAAAACCTAAAGGAGCCCTAGCAATAGTCCCCTGAAGAGTCCTCACGGGCTAATCCAAGGCAGGTAGACTGTGCAGAACAGGGCTTCTGCAGCACAGGGCAGAGGGAGCCTGGAAATGCTATGACTAACACCTGACTTTCACCTGAAAGAATGAGGCCTGGCAAAGGATACTCAACAATGGCACCTGCTCCCTAACCCCAGCATCCACATATCCACAGCACATACATACACATGCACACATACAGGTCAGCAAGTAGTGAGTTCTTGGAGAGGTGAGTATTTTCATAATCACAAAAAAATTCTGCTTCCTTCCATAGGATCCTTCTTTTTGAAACAGTTTCCTGGGATAGTCCACCTGCTTATCTGTGGAATGGGAGTGACTGTTTAAGGCTTCTAGACAAGATTTCAGAGCCCCCAGGCATGAGGACTCCTCACAGTTAACCTAGCAAGGGTTTGCATTGGTCCTGAGGGTAACACTTTAGACAAAAGCCTGCAGTTAGCCTGAGGACGCTGCCCCAAGCTCCATGTGCTCTGGCCCTCTTTCCTGGAAAGTTCTTTCCCTGTGTTCCAGTGCTGCCTGGAATTCAGCCAAAGAATGGGTCAATGACTGTGACTCTGAGAAAATGCCTAGCCCTCGGAAATGGGTCATAGCTGTGCTGTCCTTGATTGTATAAACTGACATGCAATGTCCTTAGAGTGGCTAGCCCTTTTCTGAGAAGAAAATCCCATCAGTGTTGGATTCATCAAGTTCCAAAGGGATTCATATCCTAAAAAATCCACATTCCAGAAATGAATAGATAAAATGGGATATATGCACACGCTGGAATATTATTCATCAGTGAAAGGAAATACTGATATATGCTACAATATGGATGAACCTTTGAAAGCATTATGCTAAGGACAAGAAGCCAGACATAAGAAGAACACATGTTGTGTGGTTACATTTATATGAAATGTTGGCACAATCGGCAACTTCATAGAGACAATAAGTGAAAAAGTGGTTGCCTAGGGTTAGGGGGTTGAGGGCAAATGGGGAATGACTGCTAATGAGTACACAGTTTCTGTGGGGCATGATGAAAATGGTCTAAAATTGATGTGACGATGGTTGCCCAATTCTTTGACTATACAAAATCCTCTTGAACTATATATTTTAGATGAATGGATCGTGTGATACATGAATAGTATCTCAATCAAGGTGTTATTTAAGAGTCCACCCCCCAGCCACCAGGCACAGGCACAGGCTTTCCAAAGCCTCTTGTGAGTCCCCAGTCCCCAGGACCTGTGACCTGGGGCTCCCTCACTTCTTCCCACTCAATTCCTGATTCTGCTGGTGGCTGGGCAAGGAGCGAGGGACACAGGGACTTGAGACTCTGTCTGCTGTGCATGAGACACTCTCTTCACACACTGGGACAGGGGGTAGCCTTGCCCTCTCAGCCTTCAGCGGAGTCACCGGAGCTGAGCCCGTTGACCGTCCCCACGGTCCACATAGGACTGCTATCCTGGCCGCCTCCCTTCCAGCTCGGACATCCTTTGAGTCTGTGTTTCTTATTTCCATGCCTGAGGAACGACCCATTCTCCCTGAACCATCAGTTCTTCTCTGCCACATGAAGGTGGCACAGAACAATCAAAAATCAGTGGAAAACTTTTCAACAGGAAGCAAGAGAATCTGATCAAATTTAAGTTCTGGAAAGGTCACTTGAATAAGTTGAAAGATTTGTCAGAGGAGGGAGAGATAGAAAGCTGGGAAGTCCAGTATCAAGGTGCTGGCCAATTTGGTGTCTGATGAGGACATGCTTCCTGGTTTGTAGACAGCTGCCTCCTTGCCACATATATCCTCATGTGGCAGAGAGGGGTCTCATGTCTCATCTTGTTTAATATTTATTTGTTTGTTTATCTATTTGGCTGTGTGGGGTCTTAGTTGCCGCCCGTAAAGATCTTTTGCTGTGGCTTGCGAACTCTTGGTTCCCTGACCTGGGATGGAACCCAGGCCCCCTGCATTGGGAGCTCAGAGTCTTAGCCACTGGACCACCAGGGAGGTCCTTCACGTCTCATCTTCTAAGGGCACTAATCCCATTTTGAGGGCTCCAGTCTCATGACCTACTCCCCTCCCCCAAACCCCATCTCCAAATATGGTTGTAATGGGGATTGGGCTTCCACACATGAATTTGCTGGGATCGGGGGGACACACTTCAGTCCATAGCGATAAGAAAGGGAGGCTCTGGGTAGGGTCAGAGCTAAGGGGTCCCACAGGAGAACCTGTGAACCGAACCACCCTCCATCCCAGCCAAGTCTTTTTGGTTTTTTTTTTTTAATTGGAGGATAATTGCTTTACAATATTGTGCTGGCCTCTGCCATACATCAACATGAATCAGCCACAGGTATACAT